ATTTAATAGTTTGTGTTAAATTGTAACATGATTCAATAGAGCTAAACGCTGTATATATGCTCCACAAGCTAATATCTGTTAACCAGTTCAATAAATAACAGTGATTACATGGACTTTATAAGATTATTGTAATTTAAACTGTTACATTATGTTCTGATCAGATCACATTGAGCTAAATAAGATCAAATCTGCTGACTTGTGTTGTAAAATGAGATGTTTTCGTGTTTATCTTCTGTTAATAAATCCATAACACAAACAGCTTTTCTGACATTATTTAAAGCATTAGATAGATTATATAAACTGTAAAATATTAATAATGATTGTGTTAATATTATTATTAATAGTTTTAATGATTTCTACATCGTCAGTCCTTTTTTCTGCTCTTTCACCAACATGTACAGTGATGGGAAATCCAGAGTCTTGACCATTTAGCGTTAGCCGTTAGCTTCACCAGCCGATCACATGGTCACGTGGTCTTTGCGCACTCTAGCTGTTATATATAAACTCCTTGCTCTGAACAGATCCAGTCTATTACAGGAACACATAAAGACAGACAAGATAAACAATCATTAATACTTCCACCCACATCCAGTGACAAATTGCATTTACCAATGAATCTAATGCATGTTTTTTTGTCTGATGAAGAAATTCAAATTCAATTCAAAAATACTTTATTGATCCCAGTGGGAAATTAGGTAAAACCTGAGTACCTGGAGACTGGAGAAAAATACAAACTCCAAAGCCAGAACGTGAGCCTGCAACCTTTTTAAAAATGCCAAAAATGTGTAATTTTTTTAATAGTAAATAAATTTAACAACAAATTGACTACATTTGTTTAAGCAAACACATTTACAACACTGACCCACATTTTTAAATTTGCTCATAAAAAGTGGAGAATGTAAAGTTTTTACAGTTCTTCATTTTTATATGTCTAAATGACTTGGCATCTATACCTGATAAATTTGTGAAAACATCAGGAAATTATGCAGACTAACAAAAATTTTAAAGTGTCAAAAAAAAGACAACAACTTGATGTGAGTTTAATATAAAACATGTGCTTCAGGGTATTTATAATCAGAAAGAAATGTTTCATTTTGATGAAGAATCATGGAATTGGATGTGAAACAACATGTGGTTATAGGATTTAAAAACAATATATATAAAGCCTGTGTCCCAACACAAAAATAAATTCAACTCTCTGATGTCCTACGCTGCTGTGAGCTCTTGAAAGCAGCACTGGTTGAGTCCAGAATGAGTTCCTCTCTAGACCAGGTGCCGGTATAAGAGGAACTAGAGACTCAATGGAGACACAGGAAGTGGTACATTTCTAAATGTGCAGTAAAACACAAGTTACTCCACGCTTCCTGTTTTAGCCTGAGAGCAGAAAGAGAAACACCTGGACTGAAAGACATCAGCAGGAGTCAGTTTTATGTATTTATTTTTATTTTGTTTTAAAGGTGTTGGCAGCTCAATAAGAACTTCAGTCTTTAAAATAAAATTCACTTACAGTTTAGGAGATACAATGAGTTTTCTGTTTGTGTAGGTTCTCATCCTGAGGGCTCTTGCACAAAAAGGAGCTGGGTTCAGTCACTCTGATCAGAAATCAGTGTGTTTCATGCAATTATTCAACATTCATATGCTTTCAACTCATTCTGTTCAAATGCACCAGAATTTAGGAAATAACATCTACTTCATTCAAAGGACCCCCAGACCCCCTGCCTGTGTGCACCTCAGTACCAATGATAATCGTCCACTCCAGTCCATTCGACCATTGTTGTAGTTTGATAGCGAGGTACGATTATCTAGTGGCGCAGAAACGTTTTATTTACAAATTGAATAAAATATGTCAACATGGAGGACTTGTCCATCCAGCCTTACATGTTGGAGCCAGAGTCTGACCCAGAGCGAGAGGGGAATGAAGACAACGAACCTGCAGAACTGCAGATTCAAATTGGTACACCAGAAGTCTATGCCCACGTGTAGAAGTGGTTTAGCAACTACTGTGACATAATAGTTCAGAAATCGTAATATTAAGTAAACAGAAGTTTCAAAAGTATTCACATTCATTACTCAAGTAGACGTATATATACGGTTTTAAAATGCTTCTGTAAAAATTGAAGTGTCAACTCAAGCTTTTTACTCAAAAGTGTAAAAGAACTGGTTTTAAAACTACTTAAACTAAAAGTAAGGAGGAAAAAAAGGCATAATGGTACATAAACTTTGCATCCAAACACAATTAAATCACTCCAACCAGGAGGTGCAACATATCTGGATAGATATTTTCTGAACAATGACAAGTCTGAATGAAAACAAGCCAAAGTGAAGTAGAAATGAAATACCTTTTACATGTTTTAAATGTAAGGAGTAGAAAGTTTAGATAACTGCCTGAAAATGTAAGGAGTAGAAGTAAAAAGTAGACTGAAAAATAATTACTGACTCACTAAAAATAATTATTGAAGTATAAATAAATTTTAAAAAATCTACTTTATACGAAATTATTTGTATTTCATTGCTTGACACCTCTGTAAGGATGTAGACCAGAAAGAGTGATACTGTTTCTTCACCCTTTGGCCTACTGCACCGTTTTACCTGTGGGGGGGAAGCAGATCAGTGTTTACTCAAGGAGGTTTAAGTCAGGGGTGTCCAAACTTTTTTTAGTGAGGGCCAAATACAGAAAAATAAACAAAGGGCCGGGCCACACACTAGAAGTGACATATTGACACATCAATAATGTGTGTATTTCAAACTCACCTATGTGAGAACATTGTACTCAGTGGGAGCAGGGATGCTGTCCTTTGGATTGAAGGATGGCTGACATGTTAGGAGAAAGTTTGGTGGTTGAGACATGAAAGACTTCACAGAGATGGCTATCGGTCATTCTGGTTCTCAGTCTGCTTTTGTTCTGATTTAACAGAGAAAATGTTTGTTCACATATGTATGTTGAGCCGAACAGGCTCATCATTCGTTGAGAACAGCTTGATGTTTTTCAATTCCAGAAAAATCTTGGAAACGCTGGTTGAATTCTGTCATGAGAGATTTAATCACAGACACATATTTCTCCTTTTTAGCAGAAAGATCGGTCTTTGGAAAAGCAGACTTGATTTCAGACAGCGCAGGAAAGTGTGCAGCACCAAAGCCTCGTAGTTGTGTCTCAAACAGGCGCAGCTTTACGCAGAAGGCTTTCATGTGCGCATACAGTTGTGGCACCAGCTGTTCTTTGCCTTGTAGGTTCTTGTTCAGTGAATTCAGATGATGTGTAAGGTCAACTAAAAATGCCAGGTCTGCCAGCCACAGAGGGTCACTTAGTTCACAAAGAGGTCGGTCCTTGTCTTTTAAAAACTGGTCTATTTCTGATCTCAGCTCATAAAACCGCTGCAGCACAGAGATGCGGCCGAGCCAGCGCACATCAGAGTGGTAGAGTACATCACTGTATTCAGCGTCCACGTCAGATAGGAAAGCCTGAAATTCTCTGTGGTGCAGTCCTTTAGCTCAAATTATGTTGACAGTTTTTACAACAGTGTTCATCACATCGTCCAGCTGGAAAGCCTTTGCACACAGTGCTTCTTGGTGGATTATACAGTGCATCCTAACAGCCTCACCTCCGCTCTCTTTTACCTTGCCATTTTTCGTTTCTTTGGTGCTGCCATTTCTGGAGACTCAAACGGAGGGTCGCAGTCACAAAAAGGGTCTTCTTCTCTTCTCTTCTCTTCTCTTCTTCTCTATAATTTCATTTCTGTGGCTGGCTCCATCCAGTGTTGAAACTGAGAAGTGCAGCTGAGTTGAGCTCAAGCTTCTTGTGCGAGTAACCCTTGGCTGCAGACTGCGGCATGGGGCGGGGTCAGATAACAGGCGGGGTCGGACGTCTGACCCCGCCCTCAACTCTAAAATTAACCAACCCCAGATGGTAAATACTAAAATTAACCATGCCCAATTTTGTATGCCTCCTATTAAACTTCCCTACAAGCCATGACCACACCCATTGGACGTCCGACCCCGTCTAGTATCCTAATCCGCAGTCTGCAGCCGGGGGTACTTGTCTTGTGCGGGCCATATGTGGTTGGCTCCATTTAGTGTTGAAACTGAGAAGTGCAACGGAGTTGAGCTCAAACTTCCTGTGCGGGCCATATTCAATAATATTTTCAGAATTTGCTACGGGCCAATAAAAACTGGAACGCGGGCTGCAGTTGGCCCGTGGGCCATAGTTTGGACACCCTTGATTTAAGTCTATGTGTTTACTGATCAATACTTTCTTCACCCTTTTATAAATCAGACTCATATTACTAAAATGTGAGGTTGTAAAATCCAGGGAACCCTTTTCATAAACAATACACAATGATGTAGAATCCAGCTTTATTTTAATGGTCATCAATGCATGTTCCCATGCTATGACAAAATTTGTGGTCTGCATTTGACCCATTACACGTAAGAAACACCCAACTGGAGCAGCGGGCACTTTGTAAGCGCCCGGGGAGTAGTTGGGGGTTGGGTGTCTTGCTCAAGGAGATCACGATGTGGGCATGGCGATTTTGGG